AATATTCAGGGATTGAAGATAAGGAGTTTGCAAAATTGTGCAGCTCTTAGCAAAGTGATTGGAAGGGTTTGCAGTCAGGAATTGCCACAGCTTTAGGAAGGACTTGTAGCCCCTGAAGACAAAGTTGAGCATGTAACAATTCCAAGAAGAACAGTAGGAGACACGCTCAATCACAAAAACCAAAAGATCTGGCCAAGTACCCTCCCTGACTGCTCAGGCCACTGCTATACATTTCTCTCAAGTTTCTTCACCCATATTTCCACCCATGTTTTTCCCTAGTTTGTCTCCTATATTCTGTCATGAAACTTCTGAATTTATCTCGTCCAAGACATTTACCTTTGATCCAACTTACATTAAACTGCTGTCCACTGTATTCCTTTCCTGGCAGGTGCCAATACTTTCTTCTTCAGCAAAATAACTGCTGACCTTTTTGACCTTGTAACCTGCTGCTCCGTTTCCGATCTCCCTTTTCTCTCTAAAGTTTCCCAAATCTGTGCACAACTTCCTTGTGCACCATGTTGAATCTCACCAATCTGTCTCTCCCACAGCACCTGTGTCCTACAGAAACATAGAAACTAGGAGCAGGAGTAGGCCATGTGGCCCTTTAAATCATTAAGTATGATCATGGCTGATTCTTTGTTTAAGTGTCATATTCCCATTTTCTCCCCATACCCCTTGATACATTTAATGTTTAAAAAGTAATCAGTCTCTTTCTTCAAAGTATTCACTGACTTGGCCTGCACACCTTCTGTGGTAGAGAAATCCATAGATTCACTACTCTTTGAGTGAGGAAATATTACCTCATGTCAGTCCTAAATGGCCCCATTTCCCGAAGTTTAGACCCTGGTTCTAGACTCTCCGACCAGTGAAGACATGCTCCAGGCATCTACCCTGTCAAACCCTTTGTGAATTTAATATGTTTCAATCAAATCCCCTCTCATTCTTGGATGCTCTCATGAATACAGGCTCAGTCGAACCAATCTCTGCTCATAGAACAGTCCTGCCATCCTCAGTTTATGCCTAGAGAACCTCTACCGTACTCCTGCTGTGGCAAGGTAATTAGGTAGGGAGACAAAAACTGCATGAAATATTCCAGATGTGGTTTCACCAAAACCGTGCATAACTGCAGTAAGACATCCTTACTTCTGAACTCCAATCATCTTGCAATGAAGGCCAACATAACATTTGCCTTTCTAATTGCTTGTTGCACCTACTGGTCTACTTTCATTGACTGATGTACGGGGTCACCCAGATCCCTTTGTACATCCATAGTTCCCAAGATATCACCATTTAAATAATACTTTTCCATTCTATTTTTGACACCAAAACTTTATAATTTCACATCTAGCCACATTGTACTGCATCTGCCATGTGTTTGCCTACTCACTCAACTTGTCTAAATCATTTTGAAGCCTCCTTGCATCCTCCTCATAATTCACAATTCTACCCATTTTGTGTCATCAACAAACTTAGAAATGTTACATCCTACATTCAGGCCATTTATATATGTTGTGAACTGTAGGGTGCCAAGCACCGATCCTTGTGGTACCTGATTAGTTACTGCCTACCACCCGGAAACAGACCTGTTTATTCCCACTCTCTGTCTCCTGTCTGCTAACCGGTTTTCAATGCATGCTAATATATTGCCGTCAATGTCATGTGCTTACCAAATGACTCATATCAGTCACAAATCATTTGCTTTCAGTGACCCCTCTGCAACTTTGATGAGATTGAGCACATCATTTCTCCTTTGCCAGGTTGCCTTCTCCTGGTTCCTGTCTTATCTATCCAATCATAACCTCAGCATCCCCAGTGACCTTTCTGTGTGTGCCTTATTCTTTTCCAGTTTAATAATCAGAAGACTGAAGTTGAAATCTTGAACCCCTACAATATGTTTTGTATCCTTGCAACCAAATGATTCAAATTCTTGTGTAACATTCCTCACTTTGCCCCACCATTGACTTCTTCTGTGGAGGTTTGAGCTTTATGCTCCAGAATTTTCCAAGTAAGCCTTTCTAATTCTTGACTTCCCTCTCATCATTTTGAACATACTTTCAAACCTAACCTTCAGCTTCCTCATCTCTCAGCTGGTTATGTATGGCTATACTGGTCTGAGTTTGACAAAGCAGCCTGTGATCTTTTTCAAGGGTGAATGATACTGAGCAACTCATTGCCGATTACTATGTAATTGTTTTTTGAAACACAGCTTATTGTGCAGCTGTACCTTATGATAACAGATCAATTATAAGCTCCAGACAGTCCTTTAGACATCAATATATGTGATAGAAAGGCAGCAAAGGCAAATGTCCAGACTTCAGTGGAGTTACAGTAGAACTGCAGCCTGTGATAGGTCCATCTGAGAACTTTAGTACAAGAAGCCAAAGGATACAATAGTCCCTAAAGTTTTATATCAGAATTAGAGGTTAAAAATTTCATATGTACCTGAACTTCAGGTAGAGCTAGAGAAAGCACCAGAATATGCTTAAGATCTGCAGGAACAAAGCTGGGTAAATGGAGTTGAGATGCAAGTCAGCTCTGAACTAACTGAATGGCCGAATAGGCTCAAAGGATTGAATGACCTCTCTCACCAAAGAGAATCATGATGGTGACGATCTGCAAGTGGTTTCCAATTATAGTGTAGCTTTGGTGAAGTTTACATGGTTAATGTTTTTGTTACAGTTTGCACAAATGCAGCATGAAACAAAGTGAATGCATATTTTGCTTGAACTATCAATTTTTTGGCAATGGGCAAGGGGATAATGTTGAACAAGTGTTCATAGTTTGATGTCGTTCCTAAAAGATGCCATCTCAAATCATTAGTCTGGATGTTTTACCACTGGCTTTTCTTGGTTTCCTCTTCCTGCTCCTCTGGCTGCCTTCAGCCTCAAGTGTTTTGGCACCTTCCTTCTATTTTTATTCATAGAATTCCTACAGTGTGGAGCAGACCATTCAGCCCATCATGTCCACACTAACCCCTCCAAAGAACATCCCATCCATACCACAAACCTGACCCCAACCTCTGTAACCCTGCATTTCCCATGACCAATCCACCTAACCTACACATCTTTGGACTGTGGGAGGAAACTGAGCACCCTGTAGAAGCCCATGCAGACATGGGGAGAACATGCAAACTGCACACAGTCGCCCAAGGCTAGGATTGAAATGTGGTCCCTGCTGCTGTGAGGCAGCAGTGCTAACCACTGAGCCACCGTGCCACCACCAACATCTCTCTGGCTTCCACGAAGAGGCCTATTCGAACAATGGTTGGACAGAAGCACACCATCACTGATTTTGAGACACAAGGCAAACTGTTTTGTAGCGCTACCCCAAAACAATCGAGATATTTGTTTTAAACAGGATTTCAACATTTTATAACATTGATGCCAGTTTGATAAGAACTGCTGTTCTGCTTCTGGGATGCACAGAGGAGTTGTCAGCCAAAGCACAGGATGCAGCCAACCTTTTTGCTTGACACCATAAATTGCCTTAAATTAAATGTACTGTGGCAGCCATCAGGAAAACAAGTGTTGATTTTTACACTGCTGTATTGGTAATTGTAGATCAGCTGAACATTGCAGGAACTTTTTTCTGCTCACCTAAGGAAGCAAAGAAAGTCCTTTTAAAAATACACATTCATTTCAGCAATGGCAAAGCTGATGTATAACTTGCTCAATCAAAAGATTATCAGTGGTTTGCCAAATGCATATATACTTTAATTGGAGAATCACTGGTAATATCCCCAGAATTGCGGGTGGAACAAAATGTCAGTACATTTCTCATAGTTGTCAAAATTTGACTTCTTATTTTGATTGGTCAAAGAAGTAATACAGAGGGGACAACGCAGTGTGAAGCTGGAGGAACACAGCAGGCCAGGTAGCATCAGAGGAGCAGGAAAATTGACGTTTCGGGTCAGGAAGAAGGGTCCAGACCCGAAACAGAGATAGTAGGAACTGCAGATGCTGGAGAATCCGAGACAACAAGGTGCAGAGCTGGATGAACACAGCAGGACAAGCAGCATCATAGGAGCAGAAAGGCTGATGTTTCGGGCCTAGACCATTCATTCTGATGAAGGGCCTAGGCCCGAAACATCAACCTTTCTGCTCCTATGATGCTGCTTGACCTGCTGTGTTCATCCAGCTCTGCAACTTGTTGTTCCAGACCCGAAACATCAGTTTTCCTGCTCCTCTGATGCTGTCTGGCCTGGTGTGTTTCTCCAGCTTCACACTGTGTTATCTCTGACTCCAGCATCGGCAGTTCTTACTATCTCTAACACTGAGGGGAATTGTGATTTAAGTTTTGGAAGCATATTGACATTATTATTTCATTTTGTTTAAATGTTACTGATGAGATGAGTTATCCATTCATAGTTCTTCCTCAATTGTGCCCAATCAATAAAATCTGTTAGTTCATTTTTTTATATTCTTCATTCCTTTAGTTCATTGTGTGGGATAAGTAATAATTATGACTCATTTGAAGTTGGAGCTGAAGTTTTCCAAATGTATACTTGCTATATTTTGTTAAGTATTCCTTGAAGATCTATCAAATCATTATACTTACTTATTTCCTTCAAAACTGCAATATTGCCTTTAAGAAAAAGACTATATCCGTGGTTGTAATTAATGTGTGAAAGGTCAATGCCAAGAATTGCACTTAGAACTTGTGAGAATTTTCATAGTGCTGGATTTACAATATGGATATCTGACTTTAAATATTGATAGGTGAAAAAACCTTTAAACTGTTATTTTTTTCAGTGTGATCACTTATTAATTACATTGTGACTAATTCTGTTGACCTTCTCAAAAGTAATTTGCCCTATGATTTAGTATTAAATTGACATTGTATATTTGTAATACATCATTCACTGCATTTGTGAATTAGCAGATCATTTAGAATAGAGCTGACTTAATGATGCCTGTTAATTTGGAAAAAAAAAAGGTTGTCTTGAGAAAACACAAAACAGATGGTAAAGCTTCTAACTCTGTTCTTTCCCCTCATTTTAGACGCAAAACATTATGTACGACATGATCTCAGACCTAAACGAAAGGAGCGAAGACCTTGAGAAAAGGATTGTAACATTGGAAAATAAGTTAGAGACATTAATAGGGAGTATCCAAACTCTGCCTGGACTGATTAGCCAGTCAATCAACCAACAGCAGAAGGAATTGTTTGAAACTCAGATGCAACAGTATGTCAAACAAACTGCCTGCAGTGCTGAGCGGTCACGCTCATCAACCAGAAGGAGAAGGTCCTCATCGACAGCCCCGCCAACTTCATCAGAAAGTAGCTAGAAGTGAACATTTAACCACAAGAACAAACTTTTTTTTTGCCATCATATGGTTGATATTTTAGCTTTTATTGTAAAGCCCTAACAATACTAAACAGTGTCATCCGGGTTCTGATATCAGAATCCAGGGAACCTGACAAAAATATTTTAGGCCAAAAGGAGTGAATTCTCTCCTTCAGTTGCACAGTGAATGCACCGATCCTGCTATCTAGATTGTTTCTTCTGTACAATTTACTTGACTTTTTACTCACGCACTTCAATTGACTTTATTAATTATATAATACAATAAAAAGAACTTTCTGGATATTTCTGGTCAGTCAGTTTAAGCCCTTCAATTCATGGGCACAGCTGTAATAGAACTCAGGTGCTCAACCATATGAACAAGGAAATGTACTTTGTTCCAAATATGAATATTACGTAAGTAATGCTTTTTAAACTGCAAATGAGAAACACCGTTTATTAAATTGTTAAACATAAGCAATGTTCACTTTTTCCCAGAATTTAAAAGAAATGAAACTTTTTATACATATTTATTGAGAAGACTGTTAAGAGCAGACTGTTACAGTGGAGTTTACCAGTTATCACATACACTTTATCTGCTAGCTTGTGATTTATCTTAAATCCATAAATAAAGAATAGAAGCAAGAAAAATTCAAGAGGGGAGTGATCAAAGAAAGCAGGGAGATCTATATAGTAATGCTTTAACAATACAATGTATATCACAGTTATGTTATGCTCCAGAGGTACATTCAATAACCATCAGCATCACTGTGTACTCAGGATAAGTACTTGAAAATTAGAGAGCTTTTTGCCGGAATTAATATCCGAGGGCCGAACTGACTATCTGTAGAGTTGTAACAGCACAAATATTGCCCTATCTGAGGACTGGAAAATTGAGGATAAGAACCAGAGCAAGAAAAGGAAAACAGAAAAAGTTAATGACAGAGAATTCATAATGGTAGTGGGAAAGAGTCTCACTCATATTCTACCTTGTATTTTGCATCCATTTTCATTATTCCAAGATGAAGACATTCTAGCATCTGATACTGAACAACACATGTAACTCAATAATCGATAACAACAGCATATATTTAGTTTGATTAACCAGTAAAGAAAACTATTATATTTTATTTTATGGTCAATTTAGGAAGTGTTATAAATTATTTGTTATGTTGATAATGCAGTCTAGATCATAATATTTCACTGAAATTTAACAATATTAGTACTGCCCATGGTAATCAAGTTGTAAACCGGAGGAGAAAAATGTCCATTATGCTCCTCAATGCTAAGATTACAGGTTACAAGTTAGGTTGCACTGGAATTCTTAGTTTTAAATAATATTTGTGTTGAATGTAATTGGATGCAAACAAAGATCTTAAATTTAATCAAAGAATGCTATGAAGATATGAGGGGCACGTTGGCTACAGTGGATTGAGAAACATGTTAATACATTATGACAGGAGACATACTTAATATGGTTTACACCAAACTTATATTCCTTTAAATCACAAAAAAGGCAACTTTTTGGAGTCGAGCATGATTAACAAAGGAAGGCGAAGATTGCATTAAATCAAAGGAGAAGGCTAATAAGGGTGTCAAGAGTAAGCCTGAGTATTAGGAACATTTTAGGCCTCAACATAGAAGGACTAAGAAACTGATAAAGAAAGGATAAATAGAATATGAATGTAAACTAGCAAAAGCTATAAAAACAGACCTCAAATACTTCCATTGGTATGTAAAAAGGAAAAGATTACCAAAGACCAAAGTGATCCCTTACAGGCAGAGACAGGAGAATTTGTAATGGTAAATAAGGAAATGGCAAAGGGTTAAACAATTAGAGATAGTAGGAACTGCAGATGCTGGAGAATCCGAGACAACAAGGTGCAGAGCTGGATGAACTATGATGCTGCTTAGCCTGCTGTGTTCATCCAGCTCTGCACCTTGTTGTCTTGGGTTAAACAATTATGTTGTTTCTGTCTTCACAAAGGAAGGTAGGAGAAATCTCTTCCAAAGATAAAAGATCTGTGGAACTAGTAAGAATGAGAAACAGAATAAATAGTCTTAATAAAGAGGGATATTGGAGAAATTCATAGAAAGTTGACAAATCCCCAGGATTTAATGATCAACATTCCAGAGTTGAAGAAGATAGTTGTATTGAAGTTGGGTGCATTGGTGGTCATCTTTCAAACTGCTGTAGATTCTGGAATAGAGCTTGCTGATTGGCTGATTGTAAATATAGCCACAATATTTAAGAAAGGAGGGAGGGAAACAAACAGGGAACTACAGACCTGTTAGCCTGTTGTAGTAGGGAAAGTTCTAGTATCTATTATAAAGGAAGCGATAACTGGACACTTGGAAAGTAATAATCTGATTAAGTGGTATCAACATGGATATATGAAAGGCAAATCATGTTTGACAAGCCTGTTAACAGTTTAATGAGGATGTAACTAGAAATAGACAAAGAAATAGACATAAGAGATAGTAAGAACTACCGACGCTGGAGTCAGAGATAACACAGTGTGGAGCTGGAGGAGCACAGCAGGTCAGGCAGCATCAGAGGAGCAGGAAAGTTGATGTTTCAGGTCAGGACCCTTCTTCAGAAATGGGGGAGGGGAAAGGGAGCTCTGAAATAAATCGAGACAGGAGGGGTGGGGCTGGGGAAGGAAGGTGGGATGGTGATATGTGAGTGCAGGTAGGCTGTGGCGGGGATTGGTCAGTGAGGTGGAAGGAGCGGATAGGTGGGAGAGAAGACAGACAGGTTGTGTCAGGCCAAGGAGGTGGGATGAGAGGGAAGGTTGGTCATGGGATGAGGCCAGGGCTGGCAAGATTTTGAAACTGGTAAAGTCCACTTGAGACCTTTGGGTTGTAGGCTCTCAAGGCGGAATATGAGGTGCTGCTCCTCCAGTTTCTGGGTGGCGTCGTTGTGACACTAAAGGAGGCCCACGATAGACATGTCACCCAGGGAGTGGGAGGGGGAGTTGCAATGGTTCGCAACTGGAAGATATTGTTGTTTGTCACGAACAGAGTGCAGGTGCTTTACAAAGTGCTCTCCGACCCTCCGCTTGATCTCACCGATGTAGAGGAAGCCACATCGGGAGCAGCGGATGCAATAGACCACATTAGTGGATGTGCAGGTGAACCTCTTGTCTGGTGTGGAAGGTTTTTTTGGTTCCTTGGATGGAGGTGAGGGGGGAGGTGTAGGGGCAGGTGTAGCACTTCCTGTGGTGCAGGAAAAGATGCCGAGGGTGGTGGAGCTAGTGGGGAGTGTGGAGTGGACGAGGGAGTTGCGGAGAAAGCGGTCCCTACGGAAGGCAGATAGGGGTGGGGAGGGAAATATATCCTTGGTTGTGGGCTCGGATTGCAGGTGGCAGAAATGGCGGAGAATGACACGTTGAATACAGAGGTTAGTGGGATGATACGGGAGAAAGGGGGAATTCTGTCTTTGTTTTTGTTGCGAGGAGGGGATGTGAGGGCAGAGATGCGGGAAACGCAAGAGATGTGGTCGAAAGCATTTTCGACCACTGAAGGGGGGAAGTTGTGGCCCTTGAAATAAGAGGGCATCTGGGATGTTTGGGAGTGGAATGCCCCAACTTGGGAGCAGACATGGTGGAGGCAGAGGAATTGGGAGTAGGGGATCGCATTCTTGCAGGAAGGTGGGTGAGAGGAGGTGTAGTCTAGGTAGCTGTGGGAGTCGGTGGGCTTGAAATAGATATCGGTTTCGAGGCAGTCACCAGAGATGGAGCCAGAGAGGTCCAGGAAGGAGTGAGAGGTATCAGAGATCATCATAGAATCCCTACAGTGTGGAAACAGGCCCTTTAGCCCAAGAAGCCCACACCAACCATCAGAGCATCCCACCTAGACCCATCCCCCTGTAACCCACCTAATCTACACATCCCTGAACACTACGGGAAATTTAACATGGCCAATCCACCTAGCCTACATATCTTTGGACTGTGAGAGGAAACTGGAGCACCCGGAGGAAACCCACACAGACACGGGGAGAATATGCAAACTCCACACAGACAGTCGCCCGAGGCTGGAATCAAACCCAGGTCCTTGGTGCTGTGAGGCAGCAGTACTAACCACTGAGCCACCATGCCACACCTACACGGTCCAGGTGAACTTGAGTTTGGGGTGAAAGAAACAGACATAACTTCCAGGTGAAGCACCGATTTACGTGCACTTCGCTCAATCTGGTCTAATCTATTTGCTGCTCACAATGTGGTCTCCTCTACACTGGGGAGATGAAATGTAAACTGGGTGATTGCTTTGCAGAACACCAATGTTCTATTCATAAAAATGACCCTGAGCTTCCAGTTGCCTGCAATTTCAACACACCACCATGTTCCCATTGTCAATATCTCTGTCTCAAGCTTGCTGCAGCATTCTAGCAAGCCTCAGCACAAGCTCAAAGAACAGTATCTAATTTTCCATTTGGGGACCTTGCAGCCTCTGGGATTAAAGATTGAGTTCACTAACTTCATAGTATGATTCCATCCTTCCATGTTTTTTTTACACCTGGTCCTGTTATGATATGGGTTACTTTTAGCAAAACCATCCAGTCCTATGTACACTATGGCTTATTATCACGTTATATGAGTTGTATTCAGCACAGCTAATCCATTTTTTCACTATTATTATCTCTAATTCTGTTTTTCTTCTGTCTTGACCTGCTATCCATAATCTCTTTGTCTACCTAGCCATTTCATATCTCTCTCTCTCTCTCTCTCTGTCTCTCTGGGCTCCATCTACATCTATCCATTCATCTCCTCTTTGAGAAACAACCCACTTCAGCTTCAGCATAAATACCAGATTGTTCTTGCTGCTAACAATTCTGATGAAAAGTCACTGGACTCGAAACATTAATTGTGTTTTCTTCCCACAGATACTACCGGATATACCGAGTTTCGTTAGCAATTTCTGTTTTTGATTAAAGGAAAGATGTTTTCCCAGCTGGGAGGGACGGTTCCAGAACCAGTGGCCACAGTCTTAGGATAAGGGGCAAACCAATTATTTCTGAGATGAAGTGGAAGTCCTTCAGTCAGAGGGGAGTGAATCTTTGGAATTCTCAGAGGGCTGTCGAACTTAAGTCATTAAGGAGTTTCAAAACAGTGACTGACAGATTTGTAGATGATAATGATATCAGGTAAAGGGATAGTGTGAGGAAATGTCTTTGAGGGAGATGATCAGTGATAATCTGGAATGGCAGAACAGGCTCAAGGGGCTGAGTGACCTACTTCTAATC